TCATATCCCTCAAATGCTACATCTCAAGTTAAAATGTCATAGAACGTTCTGAGTCTCCATTCGTAAGCTGCTGCAAAAGCTTGATTCTCAACTGCACCTATAGGCTCGAAATCATTAAACATCATGCTTCATCTTTTGAATTTTCACTAGGACCGCTGCTGAGAGCCACCCGCTCTGACTTGGCCTCGAATATAATCAACTCCATGAGTCTCCCATCACATGAGTATCCCTTTGGCAAAGAACCCTCCGAATCACTCCCCTTGGAACCCGCATATATATAAAGCAAAGCCCTGAATCTTTTCCCCAAGTCTGAACATGGTCCAATAAGGCCAACGATAGCCTACCAATATGCTTAATAACCAGAAACTTAGCAAGTAATCAACTCTGCAACCCCATCACAAGCGGTGGGACTCTCCCACTTAGCTTGAAGTCACATTTTCACCAATCTGGAACTCACTCGTCCTTTTTATTTCTTATTGACATAACCTTGCACAATCAACCGCCAAAATTCTCGAGATCTCTCTGTAAAACCCCCCTTCTTATACTCTAAATCATCATCATCCACCACATTCGCACGATCGATCCTTTCGCTACATACCCGATAAGATACTTCGCAGAAGCCTCGCCAACCACGCGACTGCTAATCTGCTCACTTGGCTAACCCACCTATAGAAGGCTCTCCTCGGCACCTTCCAACACTGCTGCACAGGGTACAATTACTATGACATCAATGACCCTTCTTGAGTCTGAGCTCACACTCCAGTTGCACAGGTCCATTTTACCCCTTGTGGACATCATTGAAATGTGCGACAACATCCTCCCAATTCAAAGCCATGCTGCATCCTTCTTCATTTAAGCGACTCCTTTCCGTTATATTAAACCTCCGGCCGCACAAGAACCCCTACTTCACATTGAATCCGTAGCCCCCAATCACCGATCACTAATATTATCAAATCACTCCAAACTCTCCTTAAGGTACGTGGTCCTTCCACTACAAGCCCATATACATCTCCCCCACTCTCCCACTTTGGCGGAACTCATCCCCTTAATCGACTACTCAACCTTTGCTTCATATACCTGGCCTTTTAGCAATTTAAACCCCGCCTGACACTTCCCACATGCCTTTCCCATCCTTTGTTGCTCAGTTGCTGCCCTAATAAGATTTATCTTCATGGAACTCGAATCCTCAATTTGCTACTAGCTCCAAACCTTTCCGAAGGTCATCTTTCTCGAACCATTAACAATAGAAATACTGATTCAATCCTGAACAACCGCATCCTGCGATATCTGATAGTTGTATCTCCGATACTATTTCCCAATACCTTGCCTCAAAGGCAAATTGTAGAAGATCATAACACCAACAAACTTAATACGCCCAATTAGGACAACAACACCCCAACATAGAAGAAAAAAAAATCCACCACGTTTGTAATTACCAAATCTCATTACTTCCACCAGTCCACATCCGACTCTCCTTAGTTCGATTGCCTTTTCCTCCCGGGAATAAATTATTGAATCTCTTGATTATGCACTTAGTAAACCTCCCTTGAAATCATTCACTGCCCTGACACGTGGGCAACACCCTACCATCATATTACTACTGCAGAATAGTCATTTATAAGCATCGCGGTAACTTGTGCCTAGCCTCAAAGCCCTCGAAAATACCGCTACTGGGCTGAAACAATAAAATATTCTTCCATAAGAAGACGACAATAATCTGATTAGCTATACCGGAAGAAACATCCCGTATCACGTCTGTAGCACCATTACGGTTCCTCAATTCGATTTATGACAAGCGGTCGCGTCGTATAGGATTGAGAGGAAAGAAACAAAGGCATAAGCCTCACATGAAATCGAATCGCACGACAAGGAATCAAGAAGGGAAGTACTCCTAACAGTCCTGCAGCCTCCCGAGGATAAGTACAGACGTCTCTGTACCGATCCGCGAGACTCAACTAGACTTGCTCAAGACTCGTGAGACCCTAGGAACCTAGTTCTCTAATACCATGTTGTCACGACCCAAAATCCACTATGGGTCGTGATGGCGCCGGACACCGTTGTCAGGCAAGACAACTTAATATTTAATTAAACTCCAATTTTAACAATTTTTGAAAAGACCAAGATTTTTCCTTTAAATTTCCTAAGTACAAAAGTAGCTGCTTCATTTCAAATTAAATAATAGCAATCAATACAGAACATTTCAAAACCATCCCAGAACCCGGTGTCACAAGTGCATGAGCATCTACTGATAAGGATATCAAATACAATACAACATCCGTCCGGAATACAATGGACAGAAAGAAAATACAATTTTACTAGAAGGGACTTTACAAGCTGCGGGCCGCCTCGCATACTGCAACTCACCTAGTCCCCGAATCATCCGTGTTGCTATCTAAAGTAACATATACCTATGCAACAAAATGCACAGAAGTGTAGTATGAGTACGTAGTCAACGTGTACTCAGTGAGTATCCCACCTAACCTCGAAGGGGTAGAGACGAGATGGTCAACCTGGACACTCACTAGCAGTCCAATAATAATACACTAAATGTGTGAGGAAATCATGGATTCATATAGCATGTTCTATTTCATAAAGCTGTAAAACAGGTAAACACCTTTTTAACAATTAACAAAGATTTTCAAGATTTACTTCTCTTCATTTTAATCAATTCATCCCAAGCCATGAAAGGCAATATCATCATTTATGATTTCTCACGCATCAATATATAAAAGATATGATGCGAAAATCATACCGAGGTGACGGCCCGATCCAACAGAAAATAAATGTGCACTGGCCGAGGGTCGACGGCGCACCTATAGATGCATCTATTTCCCCGCTCGCGAATTAATCATGCGACGCGGCCAACATGAAATAAACACATACCCTGCTCGCGAATCATGCATGCGACGCAGGTACACATAGAGATATATGCTCGGTCAATCAAGTAAGAACTTATCAGGGAGTGTTTATCAAGATATATTCAACTCTCTTTTAACAACCTTTAAGAAGTAAGGTTAAATCCCTTTTAGAAATTCATTTACAAATTCCATGTGATATAAGCAGTTTAAGCTATCAAGGAGTTTACAAATAATCCAAGTATTCATGCTTTTGGGTCCTAGACTACCCGGACAATAGCATAATAGTAGCTACGCACGGACTCTCGTCACCTCGTACGTACGTAGCCCCACAAATAGGGGCACATAGCCAAATATTTCACCTATGGGGGCATTTCCCCCTCACAAGGTTAGAAAGGAGACTCACCTCGCTCCGAAGACTCATAACCGGCATTCTACATTCCTCCAAAGACTTGCACCAATGCACAATGCTCCAAAATTAGCCAATGATTGTACAAATCCATTAATATATGCTCAAATATTCATAACAAACTAATTTATAGCAATTCCTAACTCCGATTAAAAAGTTGACAAAAATGCCCTCGGGCCCACGTGCCCGGAATCCAAAATTTTTCGAAGATAAAGTTAACTCATGGCTTCACTAGCTCAATTTTATAATTTACTCCTAATTCCATGCTCAAATTCGTGGCTAAATTCCAAGAATATAATTTTCTAGGTTTCCACCAAAACCTCCATTTTCTACAATTTCCCAAGCCTAAATCCATATATAATTGAAGTATTAAACTCATAAATAGGTGGGCATAACTTACCTTAACATAGATGACGAAAATCCCCTCTTTGAAGCTCCCAAAAATCGCCCAAGCCTTGAAACTGAGAGAAATTAACTCCAAATCACGATTTTAAAACAAGCCTTCTGCCTAGCATCTTTCGCATCTGCGGACCCTGGTCCGCTTCTGCGGTTCCACAGGTGCGGTCACCAAGCCGCTTCTGCGGTCCTCCCCAGCTTCCGCTTCTGCGACCCCCTCTCTGCAGATACGGTCCCGCTTCTGCAGAACCTTGACCGCATCTGCGGTCCTCAAGCCTTTGGCCAAAATTCGCTTCTGCGGCTCCCTTTCCGCTTCTGCGGGACCGCTTCTGCGGTCAACCTACCGCGATGTGAAAATACCAGCAACCAGATCCTTCAGCTGTCCAAAAATCCCATTTTCAATCCGTTAACCACCCGGAATCCACCCGGGGCCCCCGGGACCCCAATTAATCATACCAACCAATCCCAAAACACATTATGGACTTGCACGAGGCCTCAAATCACATCAAACAACGCTAAAATCATGATTCAACCCCCAATCCAAGCTTTATGAACTTTAGAACTTCCAACTTCTACTTTCGATGTTTAAACCTATCAAATCACGTCCGATTGACCTCAACTTTTGCACACAAGTCATATTTGACATTACAGACCTACTGCAACTTCCGGAATCAGATTCCGACCCTGATATTAAAAAGTCCACTTCCGGTCAAACTTCTCAAAAACCTTCAAATTTCTATCTTTAGCCAAACGGCTCCAAAATGACCTACGGACCTCCGAATTCACTTCCGATCGCGCTCTCAACTCCAGAATCACCATACGGAGCTATTCACAGTCTCGGAATCCTAAACGGATATCGATAACACTGAAATGCACTTCAAACCAAACTTATGAAATTTCTTCTAAAATGCTAACTTCCACAATAGGCGCCAAAACACTCCCGGGTTATCCAAAACCCGAACCGGGCATACGCCCAAGTCCAAAATCATCATACGAATCTGCTGGAACCTTCAGATCCTGATTCCGAGGTCGTTTACTCAAAGATCCAATCCTAGTTCGTTATTTCAACTTTAAGCTTCTAAAATGAGAATTCTCTTTCTAAATCAACTCTGAACTTCCCGGAACTTAATTCCGACCATGCGCACAAGTCATAATACCATAAATGAAGTTGTTCATGGCCTCCGACTGCTGAACGGAGCGTTAGGACTCAAAACGACCGGTCGTGTCGTTACACAATGTGACAATCTAGTTTTCTGACCTATTTTCAGTGTGAAGCGATAAGCCTCTTATAACATTATTCTGGATATATAATTATGTATGTTGATTCTTATTGATATATATCAAAAGCAAAAAAGTAACTCAAATAATTAGACAATATTTATAATTACATAAACTACCAAGAAGTTAAGAAGAAATAAAATAGTGCGGTACTTAAAAGATGATGTGCAGACAGAGGAACAGATAGGTACCACAACCCATAGGCCATTGAAAACTGAAACAAAGAAGATGAAATAAATAAAACAACAAAAGCATCAAAAATAAGGAGGTGCAACCCAAAAAATTGGAGAAACGCGCAAACAACAGAAACAAAAAGATTAATAATGGATATGCAACTGAGAAATCAAGAGAATAGTAATCCATGAACTGTTTCTGCTCTATCAAATTCTGGCTTCAAGGAAAACAACGCATATCTGTCAAAGTACCAGACATGAGTAAACCAAAATTAGGGAAAAAGAGTGGAGAGAAACCCATCACAACTCACAGGTACAACAAAATCCAAAACCAAAGAGGAGATGGAGAAATCTAGGAATTAAATGAAAAATCTAATGGCCGGAGAGACCAAGAAACTAAAGAAAGAGGCTGAAACAGAGCAATGACTGAACAAAAGAGATTTAGATAAAACTCAAGTTTGCACTTCAAAAAGGGATTCTTACTTGGGTTCTTGATCTCGTTGCTACGCTTTGGCTATGGTGGATTATTTCTGTATCACTCTTTCTCTGTGCATTGTTAATGGTTGATTCCTTTGAATACAGTGGGTTATGCCAAGAATATTCCAGATTGGAATTGGCTTGCATACACGGGAGGAGAGACCAAAAAAGATGTTAAGAGTCGGAGAGAGCAGAAAGATACGTGGCTGTTTAATTGCAGGTTTGCAGACACGTTACTTGGGAGATTTTGTCAAAAGTCCCTAATACCCTTAGCTTGAAATTTATTGGCAAGAAACAGCCAGGTTGAAACCCTGGCATTTCTATAATAAAGTAACGCCAGCGTTTATATATATATATATATATATATATATATATATATATATATATTATATATATATATAGAGAGAGAGAGAGAG